CACACACACACACACACACACACTCACACACACACATCACAGAAAACCCTTTGGAGGATCGTTTAATAGAATACAAAAATCCTCTCCATGTTAGTTCCACTCCCATTTGGTCCAAACCCTGCTTACCTCTCCATCACGTGCTACTCTTGCCCCTTGCTGTCTCCAGAGCATCCATGAGCCCTTTTCTGAAGTTCGCTTACCTGCCATGCTGTTTCCGCCAGTCTTTGATCATGCTTTCTCCTGGCTGTAATGCTCTTTCCGCCCCATCCTTCACTCATTCTTACTTATTACATCAGTGCTTGGCATAAGTGGTACCTTGGGAAAGCCTTTTCCTGGATAAAACAAATCTATCATCACCTCCTAGAACCACAGACCTGCCCTTCAAGGCATCCGGCACAGTTGCAATTCTACACGCGTCCAACTAAATATTTCACAGGCACACCTCCTTCCTAAGTGGGCAGCAAGCTCCCAGAGTATAACTTGATCGTCACTGAGTTATTTCGTTCTTTGGATCTGTGTTTGGCACATACTAGTTGATTTTAAAAATTCACTGAACTAATGAATGTCACTTCCCCTTCCTTCTGAATCCTTGTAACTCCCTAACAATGGACTCATGTCATTTTCCTCTCTTTGTTATGTCTTCAGTATGCAGTGCCTGACTGTTACCCCAAACTCCCCTCACCTGGATTGCCAGCTTTGCTTCCTTCATTCCACCCACCCACATCCAGGCTTGGTTTCCATGTTCCTTCTACAGAACCTCTGTAAACCCTGGTGGTCTCCTCTTTTAAAGTCTAGAACTCACCATCTCATACTTCATGATATCTTGTGTCACCATTTCACAGATGTTAACCTCTTCTTCTAGTCAAGATACAGGTCTTGTAGAAGGCAGATCATGTCTGCAGCCTGCTCATATCATGCAGAACATGCTGACCAACACACAGGAAGCAGCAAAATGTTTGCTGCAAGAATACATATATCTAGAAACTAAAGCACAAACAGAAGTTCTAAGAAGCTCTTTGCATAAAAATTAATGTACATGGGTTCAAATGCAAGGCTTTTAGTCCTTGCCTTCATCCATAGGCCCATTTCTTTGAGGTTCCAAAGCTAATGGAGATAGCTAATGTGACATAAGACTGGAAACCTCAAAAAACTTTTTCTTTAAGCTTTAAAAATCAATGAATAAAACTTGTTTTTTTTTTTTTTTCATACAGTAGCAGCCTTGATCTCTCTAGGTCACCCACCCTTTATATACTTTTCTCTGGGCTTTTTGGGTGTGAAATCTTTAGGATTTCAAGATATAAACTTCTTAATTAAATTGAACAAGCTTTCTGTAATGAAGGGGAACATTTCAAGGCAGCCAAATTACTCCTGTGCCAAGCATAGGAGAAATATCCCTATGGTCATTTGAAAGGTAATGCCAGGAAATTATTTTCAGCATCACAGTACATATTAAGAAGCTTAGCTGGAATGACCTGCTCACTGGGTAGGGAAAATGCAGAATGCTTAGGGCTGACCCCCACGCACCCTACAGCATGATGGGAAAGTTTGTCGGTATGTTGGCTGTCAGATCCTCCTGCATTACAGTGTGCTACAATCTTACAGTCTTGTCATATTACAAATACGTTATTAACTAAAGTAAGGAAAATAAAATTTCAAGAATAAAAAAGGCTGGAATTATTTTTTCTTCTAGTGTCGTGGATGTTTGGTAATATGGAGACTGGAAGACACATAAATAATTTGTATTTGCAGTATCCAAAGTACAATGATGGAATAATTAGTTATCACTTGCTTATATGAAATATTTTCATTAAGGCATAACATGCATGATGTATACAATGATGTACATATAGAGCCAGCACCATAAGTTTGTAGATATTTATATGAATCCATATTTATATATGTTCGCCCAGGTGACCATATAGAACCCACATCAACATACAGAACATTTCCTGCCCCACAGAGGCCTCCTGCTGGTTTAGCCCCTTCCCTTGCTACAATGTAATCTTTATCCTGATTTCTCTCACTATAAATTAGTTTTACCTGATTATGAAAATGTACATAACTGAAGCCAGGTGCTATGTATTCTTTTGTTTCTTTCGTTCAACACTCATCCATGTTTTGAGAATTCATAGTTTGTTCTTTGTTATTGCTTTGCAGAATTCCATTGTATGAGCATATTATGAAATATCTGTTCTTCTATCCATGGACTTTGGGATTTTTTCCAATTTTTAGTTATTATTAATAAGGCACTATGAACATTCTTGCCCTTGTATTTTGATGGATATATGTACTGATTTCTCTTATGTAAATCCTTAAGGGGAAATCACTGGTTGTAGGGTTGATGTGCATTGTTTAATCGTCACATATACTGTCAGGTTTCTCAAGTGAACAAGAATGTATTTTAATTGGTGAACAGAGTATACGAATTCAGAGTGACTACTATTGTTTAGTCCAAATTATGCCATTTGTTTCTGATTTATTGATATTTGACATTTTAAAAATATTTCAACTCAGGTATTAAAATTGGGCCATCCCAAGTGCTGGTTGAAATTAAAGGTGAAAGGAGTTGAAAAACATCAATAGCTTAAAATTCCATTTTAAAAATGCAGCTTTATAGGAAGACATTAAGCCGTTGGAGCTCTAATAAATTCTATCTTTGGTGAATTACTCTTTTCTTCAGAGTGTTAGGAACTAATGTTTGGAGATTAACTTTAATTAATAGTAATTTAGCAAAATGTAATAAGAAACTTGTTTGTCTTGGTCAAACAAGAAGGCATTGTTCAAAGCAGAAACATGAGAAAGGGCTGGGATTTGGACTAAACATACTGTTCTGTTGAATAATTGGAGTTTATTCCTCCTACGCTTGATTAAAAATAACATCTTGATGTCCCAGGCCCAAGCCATTATTTTCCTATCCATTTTTATTTTGCTCTCATAAAGCTATAAAATGTATTTTTTTTTCATGTGACCAGGGAATTGTCTAACTTGCTTTCACTGTAATGTGCCCGCTTCCAATTTATAAGTTCTATTGGAAGGAAGATGTTTATCTCTTTTCAAGGGATTGAAATCCACAGAGCACTAAATTTTCTACACAGAGACATGGGGAAATGGAAAACACCACACAGAGGTCTCCTGTCATTTGCTTCTGAATATAAAATAAGATGTAGGTTTGCTTTTTTTTTTTTTTTCTGTTTCAGTTATCTCAGGGATCTCCAGAACCAATCGAGCCAAACTTCTTTACGGCAGATTACCATTTATTACGTCATTCATTGGGTGGAAACAGCCAGTCCTCAAATGACCTGACAGGTAATGGTCATCAACATGGGTAATCTGGATTTCACACACACACACACAAGTCATATCATTTGGATCAGCAGCTAAACCTAAAGTATCACCTTCAACTGAAAAGAAAAAAAATAAAGCTTATTTTGTTATCTATGGTAATAGTTGACATATAGTAGGAATCAAGAAATTCCCTGAGATTTATCTTACCCAGTGTGGCAGCTTCCTTGATCATTTATTAATACCATGAGCAAACAGCAGAATCTGTGTGGGTGAATTGTTACTCAGAATTCTTTCTGTTTCTTCTTGCTTATCTGATGATGGGAAATAAAATGCCCCAAAGCATCGAGGGAGATAAAAAGTAGAAAGTGAAAGCTTAAATATTCAAAATGGTGAAAAAGTTGAAGCTTACTTGAACAATCCACATCAAACATATGCGAGTTTTTCCCCTTTTTAGCAGAAATTTCACATAGGGAGGTAATATGACATAGAGATTAAGGGCAAAGATTCTGCAAACCTGGATGCCTAGATTCAAATCTCAGCTTAACTATTTAGAAGCTGACCTCAAACAAATTATGGAAGCTCTTTGAACTTCAGTATCCTTTCCTGTAAAATGGAGGATGAATATAATAATCATATAAAAATAATAAACTATATGAAATTTAAAACAATAAGTAACACTTATGTCATGGAGTAATAGTGAGGATCAACTTAACTTAAAAAGTCTCTGGCCATCAGTAGGAGCTCAGCATAAGTAAATTCTTGTCATAGAAAAAGAGTTCTGGCTACTCTGAGGTTTCAGAATTCCTGAATAATTTTTGAATCTAAATAAATCATGGTTCTATCTATAAAGTAAGATGAACAAAAGTTAAAGCTCTTACAGTTAAATGAGACTTGACATCTCTTCCATTTGGAAAAATGCTTCACTTCAGTTGTGCTTACGTTGTTACCTGAGCAAATTATTTCCTGTATCAATTACCAGACTTTTCCTTAGTCTTAGTCTCCTGGGATAAAGCTAATCCCCATGCAGGTAGAATTTCATTTAAAATATGATTTCTGAGAAGTTCATAAGATCAAGATAAAAAATGTGCGGAGTCATTTGCTTCTAAAAGCCTCTCCCAGGACAGGTAAGTTCACGTACAGGCCAAACTTCTCCTTCCATTAGCAACTGTGATGGGGTGAACTCTGATGGAAGTCTCTCAGAAGCTTGACACAGAGTTGAGGACTCCTCGTAGGGCAGCCCTGCGCTCTACCCCAGAGCTGAGCAGGCATGACCCTTGTCACAGCAGGCTTGGCAAGAGCAAAGGCAGCAGAGCTGTGGTGCGGTGGGGAGGGAACAGGGAGCACCTTTAAACTTGGCTTTGAAAATGAACTTCAAGGACTCACACCTTCAAGCCTCCCCTTCAGCTGCAGCCTGATCTCTTTTCTCCCTCCAGAGGGCCAGGGAACTCCCAGGTCTCCACATAGGTTGATACATTCAAGTAGAAACTGGTCAGCCGTGCTCTTGGCAGCATGGGGTAGGTCAAGGTGCTGCTGGTATATTCATACCAACCATCAATAAAGGGCCTCCGCACTAATGTATTTTCCTACAGGCAGCCACATGCCATAGTCAGATCTTTCACTAATTCTGCCCCCCTATAAGAATTTATTTTCTTGCCAGCACATATGTACTCTTCTTGCCTTATGGATGATCGGAGTCTCTCAGTCAGAAAACTCACCCATCAGGTAGTTCATGTTTGGATTCATGAACGTGGGCAAACACAGCCCTGACTTCACCAGCCAGCGTGCGATGTAAGCAATGCTCCTGAATCTCAGTATGGCCATACGCAAAACAGCCAGTTATTACAGAGAAGCAGAGTATCAAAAACAAAGACGCTTAGGAATTTACTTTTTCTAAGTCTCATTTTTATCATTAAGAAATTGACCTATTTTCACTGCGCTTGAAGTCATAATTGTAAATAAAGTGTAACTATGAAAATTAGACCAAATATCAGACTTCCTATAATTCATCTATTTCAGGTCCACCCACCAGCTCTGATTTGGAGGAAGGAATAACGTATGAGCAGATGCAGGTGAGGTTTTTGCAGTGGCCCTGAATGATTTTATTTTGTTCCTTTTAATTTGATACTAACCTGATTTTTTTTTTTCAATTTTAGAGTGTGATTGAAGAAGTCCTAGAGGAAAGTGGCTATTACAATTTTGCATCTAACAGGTGAGATCTAGAGTTTGATTTCAAATGTGAAAGATGAAATGAGATCATCAGATATTACATGTGGTTTTTCTCTAGCCTTCATTTCAGAAGTTTTTTTTTTCTTTTTGAACCTTTATTTTAAATATTTGTATAAAATTATCTTTTCCGAGACTAAATACCTACACAGGTAAAATATATGTTGCATATCTTCTGTATGGACACAGCTCCTATGTTCTCTTTTGAAATAAAAAGTGATCTTCCTAGTAAATGACTTTTATAAGAATAACAAATATAATTGAGTTGAAAAGCATTATCTATATTTTTAAAATTAATATTTGTCTCATTCTATAGAAGAGCTAAAAACCTGGGTTTCCATCATTTTGAAATCTACCATTATTTGCATAGAAGGCTAGGTGTGGGAAATGCAACTAAATAAAGAATCCCTTCAGGTGCATTTAAGATGGGATTATATGCAGTCCCTCTGTGTTTTGTTTTACCATTTGCTTGCTCTAAATAAGAGATGTCAGTTTACTGGGACTGCTCAAAGGGACTGCATATTATCTTAATATAATCATTATTTGTTCTCTTAAAATACACTCCATTTTATCAATTTAAATCTAGTCCTGAATTCCTGTAGTTTTACTATTAGGCACAGCTTTGATGCAACAATTTGGGTACAGTTAGTTTATTTGAGAGGTGATTCAGGGAAACACTAGTTTGGGATAAAGAAGTTTAATACAGGTGTCATTATCAAGCAGGTTTTCATTGGCTGGTGCTCAATCCCATGGAAGAAATCCGAGAGCCAATGCAGAAAGAGAAAAGATGTTAGAATTTTCCCACTCACAGGATGAGGAAGTTGGGGTATTTATTCTCCAGTTTCCACCAGTCAATATTTGAGGCCTTTCCCAGGAAGTGTTGATTTCCTGGTGTTTCTGGCCTTTTTAAAGGTGGTCAAAGGAAGGTGTAGAGGCCAGAGAAATCCTCAAGGAGAGAAATTGGTACTGGCCACTAGGGATTCAGCCAGTATGTTTTGAAGTGGCATGGATGAGAGGGTATGGGCAGTGACAATATCTACCCTACCGAGCTGTCTCTTGACTTTCCAAGGACCTGCCCATAGCTGAATCATCAGATTGATCACAAGCATCCACACACACAGCCCAAGTGGCTCAGTGTTGTTTTATGAGGCACTGTCCTTTGATACCAGGGGTGCTTTATCACAGAACTATATCCCCAGTCCTTTTTTTAAAATTTTGAGACAGGGTCTCACTAAGTTGCCCAGGCTGACCTTGAACTTGGGATCCTCCTGCCTCAACCTCCTGCAAGCAGCTGGGATTACAGGTGTGGGCCACTGTGCTGGCTAGTAAAGCTATTTTGTAGTATCTAAATTATTTGTTGCATCTAAATTATTTTAGAAGTCTCCCTTGAAGATAACTAGTAACCATGATAAGAGAAAGAGGGCCCCGGAACATCTGGTTACAGTAGTTACCAGGAAATTAGATTTTTCTTTGAGGTTAGTTCAGTCACCAGTATTTATTTTTCTTCTCTCATTTCAGTGAGGTTTTCTTATGAATCACACATGAGATTATTCAACTACTTGCTCTTTTAGCTCGATAATATATTTCCAAAATACACCCTTCGTAAATATAGTTCTGTTGTGATTTGTAACTACAGAGAAATGATGAGTAATTCTCATCTTCCAAAGATATATTGTTAATAGAAATTACCATCTCTGCAATCACTCTTCTTCCAACATCCCTGGAGAGGTTTCTGGATTTTCCCTCTCTGCTGGAGGGCAGACTTTATCCAGTCTTCTGTGGGTAACATGAATGTCTCTGTTTTCTAACACTCAGAATCTTATTATTCCAAGTGCCCTTAGCTTGTAGTGGGGTAAAGGTAACTGTTGTCATTTTTTCTGCATTTCCTCAGCGACTCAGATCAAGGGCAAAAAATGTCCTCATATTTTTGCAGAAAATCAACTAAATACTAATGAAAAACTAGGTGTGTAAATTTAAGGAAGCTCTTATAAGAGCTCTTATTTGCTCCTTTAAACATTGTCTTTTTTTGTAATAACAACATAAAACAACAAATATATTACTCTTTTTTTAGTTTGACTCTCATTAAGTCTTTAAAAAATTTAGTTCTGGAGATATATTACTTTCTTAAAAGGTGTTGCAAATTTCCTTATGATGAACAGATAATAAGATTCCTGATAATAAAGGCAAAAAACTGTTCATAGTTACATTTAGAATTTTAAACAGAATACGAAGGCACGTTTGAGCAGTGAAGTTCAAGTAGCACAAGTTGGACAGGACGTCAAAAATTTTATAAGATTCCCCAAAAGAATATGAATCATTTAAAAATCCACATTAGTATGTATAATTAGTATATGTTAAAATAGATATTAAATGTTTTAAAATCCATGAGTTCCTGATATTCACTTTTATTGGTTTCTAATAGTAATGATAGATCTTACCTTGGGAGAAAACTTCAGTTTAATGATAAGCAAGAGCCCTTGGTGTCCCCCAAACCACTACTAGTTTACAGGTGTCCCAGATAAATTCTCTCTCTCTCTCTCTCTCTCTCTCTCTCTCTCTCTCTTTTTGGTACTGGGGATTGAAATCGGGGCCACTTGCCTGCTGGACCACATCTTCAGCCTTATTTTGTATTTTATTTAGAGACAGTGTCTCACTGAGTTGCTTAGCGCCTTGCTTTTGCTGAGGCTGGCTTTGAATTTGCAATCTTCCTGACTCAGCCTCCAAAGCTGCTGGGATTATGGGTGTGTGCCACCCAACTCAGTTCTTAAGAGATAGTTCAGGCTTCACTTAGAAGTACCTAATAATGTACAATCCAGAAACATGCATTACTCCAAATATAAAATCAAAATAGCTGGTGCTGTCATAATCTTTTCAGTCAAAAGGTAGAGAATATTAAATGTCTCAGAAATATGTAGATTCTGTATTTAGAATCACTGGAGTGTATTTTTCCTAAATAAAGGTTCCATGGAATAACCAGTATTACCAAAGATATCACATATTCCATGAAAAATAAAGTCTCATGACCAAATATATTTTGGAAGCTTGGAATGTAGAAGTTTCCATTTTTGGAGAATATTGATCCTCATTACTCTATTAAAGACCTGAGGCATCCTATAGGAAAGGCATCTGATGACCTTGTTTGTTTACTCTGGTGTTTTCCTCCTCATTTACATAGAAAACAAGTTGAGAAAAGCTGTGCCAGCTAGGAATGGTTTTACTCCTCCACCAGGGTCTACCCAGATGTGCTGTTCTTCACATTGTCATTGTTATCATCTCAATTGTCATCATCATCATCATCATCATCATCATCATCATCATCAACAACAAAAAAAAAACATTGTTAAATCATCTTGGTTAAGCACCATCCGGAGAGAGCAACATACATAATAACATTTATTATTCAAGTTTGCAATTTAAGCTTATACACAGATCATCCAGCCAATCCCCAAACCGTTAAGCCCCCGTATGGTGATGTGGCACATTTTTCAGCTTAGACTGTAGGGCTTTTATTTAATTAGGGAAAAGAATAGAGAGGTGCTGTTCTCAGACTGCAAGTCTCAGGGTGAAGTCATTATCTGTCTGTTAGCCTATCTTTGGGGAAGACTTCTGGAACTGCTCAAATAAATGAGGGGGAGACTGCTTCAGCAGTTGGTTAGAAAGAATATCTTAGATACAAAATATTGCATTAGGAAAAGACAGTGGTAATAGAAATGGAAGTAGCAGCAAGGACCCCCTGACCAAAATGAGGGATTCCTTATTTCTGGGCTTCTGGATAAGGGCAATGAGGACGGAGTTGAGAGGCAGAAGCAGTGTGAAGAAACTGAAAGAAGGCTCAAACAGGCTTGGCCAGCCTCATAACTGTTTCCAAGACAGGGCCTCTTCCAGATCATTGGCGGGGCTGTAAAAACGATTCATGATATTTTACATTCATAGACATTTAGTTTCCTTACCTTAAGGCTATATCTTAGTGATACCGGCCTTGAAAATCAGAATCAGGTCCTTCTCCCCCCCCCTCCCCGAATATTAAACACCTGAGAAATGCAGAGGCAAGGGTAGAAAGCAAATTTTAAGAGACAGAAATTGGGGAGAGGGGAGACTCTTCCAGAGAAGAGGGGACCCAGAGCTGGTGGTGTTTGTGTGTGGGAGTGGGGATGTATTTCCTCTTTATAGATTCAGGTTTCCTTTCTTCTCTTGCCCCCTCTTCCTCTTATCTTGCCTACACGACCAAAAGGCAGGAAAAGAGCTTCTCAGGGAGTGATTGCTTGTGCTGGCAAGAGGGATCCTTCCCCTCCTCCAGAGGTGGTAGCCACCCACCCACTGATGGGGAAGTGCCATCACCCCATTTCTTTTTCCTTGATAATCAGCGACCTGTCCTTTGCCTCGTTCTCACGAGTAGGCCTCAATTTCACCCTTGTTTGTAAAACTGTGAGTTCTGTGATTGACTAGATGACAAGCCTCTCTTCTTTTTGAATATACTTAGATGCATATTGACATTATGTTTTTTAAATAATGAAATATTGCATTGAGAAATATATACAAGAGAAAAAAATCTACATTGAATCGGCTTGCATTTCTCTATTTCCTCATGACTGATGAACACGTAAAACAGTCATTTGAATGCACACAGCATTCAAATGTATAAGCTACATGGAATTTGAGTTTATTTTTCCACTCTAGAGTATTTTTAATTCCTACTGAATTCACAATTTGAGAAAGACCCTGTTAGCACTGAGCTTCAGTAAAAGACAGCTTTTTATAAATGTTCCCATCCTGATAATATACTTTTTAAAATTTATTGTGATTTATTCACTTATGTGCCTGAGCCATAGCTTTTGAAACTGAATGTGTGAACTAAAATATTTGTGTTTACAGAGAACTATTTCTATTTGGGAATCTTCTAGGTATCACTCCTATCCATGGGGGACGAAGAATCACCCAACCAAAAGATGAAAATGTTGCACTTTGAATGAACTTGCTTTTCCCAGTAAAGTTCAAGTTCTGGACTTCAGCCACTACAACAAGATGCTGAGGACTGGATTTCGCTAGAGGGTGTGGAAGGGGAGAGACCACAATGCCATGGGGCCAGGAGCATCTTTTTTCTGGAGATCCTGTGTGGGATGTATGACAGCTATAGTTCTTGGGTGGGGGGCTCCATTCCCAGTACATATTATATACAAGATGACAGGGCTGTCAATGTTGCTCCTGGAAGAAAATGCTGCAAAAGTCATCTGTGTGGGGGAACCCCCTGTCACAGAGCTTTCCTCTGAGATGGAAAAAAAAATGGCATATTTTTCAAAGGAACATTTTATACTCAGGATGGCTGAAACTATATTGAAAGGCATCTAGCCTTTCATATATATATAAAATAATTTTAGATAAACAAAACTATAGGACCTAGAATGATATATTGGGTGATTGATTCATGGTATCCTCTAATTTTTTTTAATCTTAAAAGAAATTTAAAATATGTGATTTTTTTTTTAAATCAAAGAATTTGTTTTCTCTTAACCACTTGGGTGCTAGTGGTCTTGAGCCATGACACAGTGTAGACAGTATTTAAAAACCTTGCACAGCACCTGGACATAATGAATATTGTCAGATTTCAGTTAGAGTAATAGAATACATGGATGTATGGTGTGTGCATATGTACATAGATCTAGGGGAGGGAGAGAGGGAGATTTTGATTAGACTAATGATTTGCTGCTAATCAAACTTATAGTGTTTTTAGAGCACTTTGAGGAGTTCATAGAATCTATGAAGCAGATGCAATATTCCTAAGTCCCTTTTACTAAAATTATCTGCATTTTAAATAAATGTTTATTGTTTGATAATCTGAAATGAAAACAAGCTATATAATAAAGACAAATTCCTTCTCTACTCCTTGAAACTGCCCAAAGAAAGAAAAATCAGAATGCCAAACAGTGTCCCATCTCTATGTAGGAAGAATTTATGATGAGAGTTTAATCTTATTGAGCTAAAACTCCTTCTCTGCACCTGGCTTAGAATTTTGTTGTAATGTCAAGAAATCCCATATTGCCAAATCAAATTGCACTTCTACCTACTTAAAGTACAATCCATTTTATATAATTAGTAATCTGGAAGCTGAAATTGTACTTTTTATTTACTTGAGTTCTGTTATCTTTAACTGCACTGATATATTTTTAGTACGATTGAATAGAAATTTAGTTCAATGTATTTGCAGTTGCTGAAACCTAATCTGACCTTTCGGATATGTAAAATCGCCTAATGGAAATCTATACTATTTTTCAATTAGTATGTTTAACAATTAAATTATGTTCAAATGCCTTTTCATCATGCAGCAGTGCCTTTGAAAATTGCCAACAAAATCTTTTTTTGTCAAGCCAAATTAATAACTAAAACACTAATTTTTAAATAGTAGATAAAAATACGGTAACAAAAACTTCCAATTTCAGCTTTCAAACTAATTCCATCCATATGTGAAATTCACATGGAAAACACAAATTTTAATGATTTGCCCAGGCAAATTTTTATTTCTGCTTCAACTTATTGTGACCCTTCATTATCATTATTTTTATCTTTTAATATGTGGGAAGCAAAATATGTTTATTGCTTTTTCTCTCTCTTTTTGGAGGGTATTTCATTTTAAAGGAGGCACAGGCCTAGAGGGGCATAAATTCTAATTTTCACAGAAGCTGTGGGGTCAAAGTTTAAGCAATCAGGTTCTTACTTGAATGGCAATATATGCAAACACAGTTTAGAAAAGAATAGTATTCAGAAATCAGACCTCGGTGAGAGAAACACATGATTCATTTAAGGTGTTTTAAAATGCATACAGTTGACCTTATTGATTAGAAAGGGAGCAATATGTTTCTTTTAGGCCACAGGAATAGCATTTATTATGCTAGAAGCCTGTCAGAGTTAACACAAATAAGCAAATAAATTTCTTTTTCAACAGGGTTTCAGGCTCATCAACCATGCTGATAGATGTACTGTTTTGCTAAAATAATGAATGTGCTCTGTTTGAATTTTCCCTTAAGCTACCACAATGACTGCATTCACATTTTCCCAGTTGCATGACCAGGTCTCTAAGAATATTGGGCACTGGCAAGGGGACCATTTGCACATGGAGCCACATCCTCACGTTCCAACCTTCAGCCAAGAAGCATCTCCCCTCATAATAAAGCAAGAATGGTCATTTCCTTTGATCCACAGAACGGTCTTCTGGTGCAAAGAAGTTGTTACTTGAGCTTACTTAATAGGCTTCATAATCTTTTCTTGATTGCATTTAGTTTTTTTTTTTCCTTCTCATATAATTTTTAATGATTTGTTGTGCAGTGAAATCCCTGTGAATTCATTGAATCTCTCTTAATTCCCAGTGACCAAATACTTGCAGGGGATAGAATTTGAATCAGTCTCTTCAGATAAGTTTTGATACACAAATGCTTCTGTTAATTATGTTTTGATCCACCAGCTCTATCTGATTGTCTGTGCTTGAAACCTTAATTTGCTTTTGAAAAGCAAAATGTTCCGTTCTCAGGGAACTGCCTGCAGCAGGATATGTGCTTGCTGGTTTCCAACTTTGTCTTGTTGCACATGTGTAGTCCTTAAATGGAGATCTCAGGAATACTGAGTGACATGGACACTTGGGCCCACTGCCCGTGGATGAATGTCAAGAAACCGGGAGAAATGCTGCTGGTGTGGCACTGGGCAGTGTGCCCAGTGTGGGCATTCTAAAACATAGCCTAATTAAGAAATACTGTTATAAAATATACTCAAATGATATAATTAATTAAGAGTTAAGGTCTTCCAAATAGTACCATTAAATACTATGAAATTTTGATATTCACAAGCAACACAGGACTGGTAGATTATGTACAACTCCTGCAATGCCATCAAATAATTACCACTCATATTTAAGATATGTGAAGACAATCATATTTATTGGTCAGTCAATTCTATCAGTGTTAATATGCATAGCACCCACATTGCTCTTTTTGATTTGCTAAGTTGCAAAATATGTTTATTGCTTTTTCTCTCTCTTTTTGGAGGGTATGTTGGGAGAATGATGAAGAATCAGGCACAGTAAATATGCTGGGTTCCTATAGGAATGCCTTCAGCTTTTGTCTGAAGGCAGGAAAATCTTTTCTAAAGGAACTTTCATTGTTTACCTTTGTTTTCCTGTTTGTGTGTTTGTATGGTGGTGGTATTCACGAGCATCATCGGATCAACTGGACAGGCAACAAACACAAAGCAAACTGGGCTGAAATAGCTTCCCAGCACCCTAGAGATACAGCTTCCAGGGGCTCCTAAGCAAGGAAAGCTTAGGACTTGTCTTCTAGGTAGAATTCTGTCCAAACATGAAATGCTTCCTGTTCAACAACTAAATGTGATAACAAGTGTATTTTGTGTGTACTTTTACGATGTTGTTCTGATTGTATTAATTATCCTGTGATGGGAAGTGAGATCATTTTGGGCAGATTGTTTTTCCAATATTGAAATGTGCTGCTAATGTATTCTTACCCTTGAATGTTGTTTTTCATGTTGATAGGAAGACACAAATGTCTCAGGGAAACAACTTTGTGATGGAGTCATTCTTATGTGGTGTCATTACAGTTAAACTGCACATTGTAAAAAATGACTGTTATGGTTGATCACAGTCCTGCTATGATGTTACTTCAAGGTTTGCCAGAGGGACAGGAAGGATTTTATGATTTTGATGGGGTGACGGATGGATATTGCCAATTTACATGTCCTGCGGGTCCACGGGCCACGGTGGTTGTTAAAAACGAAGATTACACACCCTAAAGTCACAGTAGATGAGGATGTACTAGATGTTTTTTTTTCACTCTACATATGCAGCATTTGACTAATCACATAAAAAATTCTTAAATATGTATCGTTCATTGATTGTATCCTGAAAGTAGATGAACTCCACTGTCATGGAATCTGAATGTGACTCCTCTGAAGAGTGAGAAGCTGCCCCTTTTCTTTATTATTATAATGTGAAGCTTTCTTTGTGTTGTATCCAGCTACTATGTTTAAAATAACAAAAGCATGCTGTAGCAATTATTCAACTGTTTAAATATTGTTATCTGGAGATAGCTTACCTTTGTTTCCCCTGAACAAAGACAGAAGCTTTATCTTTATAGAAAATTGTGGCTAACTTGCCATTTTGACAAACAACAACAGGAAGAAGTCTGGGCGGAGGCTTGAAACTTTGGCAAATATGTGAAGAACTGTTCTGCAAAGTAAGTAAAGACAGGTGTGTCCCAGAAATAACAAACTGAGAGGAAGAAATGCTTTAAGACCACAACACTTTTAAATCAGACTATGAAGGTTACTTATAAAATGATATTCTTAACCCATGATTTAGTTCCTACTTTTCAAGTTCCATTAGAGTCAGGATTCCAAAAAAGAACATAAGGCTTGTGAATGGCTGTTAAGGTTTAGCAAAAACCCCCTTCTCCCTGTTCTCTGTGTTTACTCCATACTCTAGTGAATTGGGAGGAAATGGAGCTGGCGTAGGGTTCCCTGTGTCATAAGAGAACATGTAAAGTGTTTGTTTATTTGAGCACAGCATTACTTTGACACTGAGAGAGGTGAATAAACATTAGGACTCAGAACGAAAATCCCAAGATGTTAAAGATAAAAGATCTTCCAAGGAAATGGGATAAATCTCAAATAAAAACTGTGCTTTGAAAAGAGCAAGTGATTCCACCAGGTCCAGCAATGCCCAGCAAGCCATTCACTGAGAGGAGCAATTGGCAAGGTCAAAGTTAGTTTCTGGGTAGTTCTAGAAACTTGGATGATTCCTGATGCTGGGTCTCCTGGAAACAGCTGACCAGATCCTAGCAAGTTGACCACTTAGAACCATAGCAGAAGCCCCCCCAAGACTCCCCAGGAACATGTTGGTGGAAGGCTTAAGACAGGGTCCTCTGAGGCATTTTAAAGACATCACATACCTCCAAGAAGCAGCTGTTACTGTTTTGAATTGTTTCAGTGCTGGGGATTGAAGCCAGGGCATGGAGCATGCTAAGCACTTGGTCTTCCATCCTCCAGCTCTCCCACCCGCCAAAGTGCAGTCTTATCTGCCTTTAAGTAAATGTGGATCTTCCCTGGGGGCTGTTTTCTTCTCAGTGCTGCAACCATGGCCTCAGGCATATTTTGTCTGACAATGGAAATTTTACAAGAAATATATGTGAAATTTAAATGGACAAATGCAGGCAGATTTGAATATGCTTGCATTAAGGGAGATTAAGAAAGAAACACTGCAAGGTACACCAGTTGATAACTAGTAAACCCGTTGATAATTAGGCCACGGAAAAATGTCATCATTTTACTCTTCCAAACTGGGAAACAAAAACCACATAAAAGAAAAATCTTTTGAGGGCATTTTGCTTACTGACATTTAGTGGATCAAGACTGAATTATACTGCTTCCTGTATTTTGTTGTTCCCAGTGGGCTGTTGGTGAGGATCAAAAAGAATGGAGCCATCCTCTGAGAGGAAGCAAAGCCCCTAATCTCATGTTGCCCAGAGCAGCATCTGTTTTCTGGATGGCCCTGGGTCCAAGACAAAAAGACTTGTCCCTGCAGAATGCAAAGACACTCTCAATGTGCCTTTCTCCACTTTAGTCTCTAAGATGGTATTTTTGTTGTTGTTGTTGTTGCACTAGCACCACCCAGCCAGATCCCTCCTGTCCTGCAAACCTTCAACCCCATTCCCATTTAAGGAACAGACTATTAATTATGCTTCCTACAGGCTACCTGTGTGTTTTCAGATGGTGTGTTTGTAATTCTATAATGGTGTGCATGGGCATGGAAGGCAGGGGTGATATACTCCTCTGCACAGGATTCCTGATCGTATCAAACCTCCCGACTCTCCTACTTGAACATTTGATTTTAACATGACCACAGTTGGAGGCCCTGAAGGGAAAAGAAAGGAAATGTCTCTATATAAGGATGCAAAAGATGCAAGCAAACTTTTATTTTTGCTATTCCTTAAGTATGCTCTGTAAATGCTAAAGAAAATTAAAAATGTATTTTCAAGTTACTGGAAAATAATTCCTCTTTTGTCAAGAGTTTATAGTAAATGCTCCTCTGCTTTCTCTCAATGGCTTCCTCAATCTCTCTTATTATGCTTTTAAGTCTTTTTTTTTTTTTTGGTGGGGGGGAGAGATGGGTAGGGGAATGAGGGCTTGAACCCAGGGGTACTTAACCACTGAGCCACACCTTCAGCCCTTTTTATAGTTTATTTTTGAGATAGGGTCTCGTTAAATTGCTTAGGTTCTGACTAAGTTGTTGAGGCTAGCTTTGAACTTGCAATCCTCGTGCCTCAGCCTCCTGAGCTGCTGGGACTTCAAGGAGGAACCATCATACCCGCTATGTTTTTAAGCCTTTGATTTAAAAAAAAAATCGAATAGGCAATCATATATGCATGTAAACTCTTAACATGTCCCTCAGCTTTAATTGATGGGTTCTGGTAGTAATTATCTATTGCTAAAAATGTTCCATAACAAAGCACCTCAAAACTTAGTGGCAAAGTGACAACACTTACTATTTATAGTCTGTGGGTTGTCTGGCTATTCTGCCCATCTGATTTTGGCTTTGCTGATACCTGGTAGGATCCCTTGTGTGTCTGTGGTCAGCTTGCAGGATGGCTGGAGTCTGATGGATCTAAAATGGAGCCAGAGCTGACAAATGTCTCTCACATCTCCCCTCCTCCCAACATTCCTCACATCCCTCCAGCAACCTACCCCAGATGTGTTTTTGTGGCAGTTTCAAGAGTTGAAAAGAGAATGCAGAACTACTCTGTCAAGCCATGGCTTGGGTTCCTAGTTCTCCCCATTCCCATTGACCAGAGTAAATCACATGGTGAAACCCAACTTTAGTGTGGGAAGATGTAACAGGTTTTTATTCTTAGGTAAAAAATTGCTAAAAAACTGAGCAGTTGGAAACAACCCACATTATCATGATTTCTGTTAA